TAGTTGCTGGGGTTTTGGGTGTTTTTTGTTGTTGTTGTTGGAGTAGTTTTTTGTTGTTGTTGTTTGTTTTGGTCCTCACATTAATCTTTGGCACATATATGTAAGGAAATTTGCAGCTGAATCCAAGCTGTGGTGTTAAGGCAGATGCTGACAGCAGTCTGTGGACAGCAAATCAGCCATGGTTTCTTTTTAACAACAGCCCTTGAAGGCTTCTAGTCTTCTTTAATGTAGCTTGAGGTCATCACTTCCATGTGTAATTTGAGCTGTAGAATAAAGCTCCGGGGGAAACATAGAGAAATAGTAAAACATTTGAGGCCACTGCTGATACTGAGTATTTTTGTGCTCGTACATCTCATTTAGCAGGGGGATTTGGCAAATCATGGCTCATCAAGCCAGTTGATGCAGCTAGGAGAACACAAATTTCTCCTTGTGGGTTCAGAGATCTGTAGTACAGCTGAGTTTGGAAAGTAGTGAATATCATTTTTTAAGTGCCAAGAATTCATTTTCATATTCAGAAAATGGTAGCCGAGATAGAAAAGATTTTTTGCAATCAATGTAACCTTGTGAAGGTTTTTAAAAAATCCAGTTTTAGACTATTTTTCAGTCGTGAGTTTAAATACTTGATGATGCTGCCTAGCTGAAATAACATTCTAATTAGTTGGTTGATTTACATTTATTCATCACTCCTCAGTCTCCTGGAATATTCTTGGAAATCCAAAGAACCCAGTGCAAGATACATGCATTAATTAAATAACCCATCAAAATAATTGAGACCATGGATTGGGATAGATAAAAAATAGAATTGGGTAAGGAAAACACCGAGGATACCAAAGAAAAAGTAAAATATTTGAATGCTGCCTTTTTACTTCTTACCTCAAAGCGAGGATTTTCTCTTAGCAAACTCAAGTCAGGTGAACTTACCTATCAGAAAATGTACTCTTGAGAGGCTGTGTTAAATGCCAAGCATGTGCATAGTGTTCCTGTTATCAAGTGCTTTTCTGAACTGGGAGCTAGAATTTTAAATATTCTAATTATTCTAAATATTTTCTATTTCAAATATGAGAAGTGAATCAGTTGGGACTGTGGGGCTCTGAGGGAAGAGAAGGAATCCAAGCAATTGTGATACCTGAAAGAGGGGGAGAATGAGCCATGGACTAAAGATTTGGGCACAGTGTTTGTTTCAAGAAAGGCATTCCATTTAGAAAACAGGAGTAAGCAGTGTCTAAGCATGAGTCCTGTAACTGGCTGTGGGCTCGAGGCTGTTATTTCCATAAAAGCCAGATCAACACTGGACAAATGGAAAGGTTTGTGTTTTACCGCAGCTAAGAAATGGTAGTTTCTTAAACAACACCAAATCCTAGTAGAGAAAAGGCACAGTTTTGTCTCTTTCATATATTAACAAAGAATAATAAATGAGTGAGCAGAGCATAAACATGTCTTGTATGTTTACCACAGCTCAGGTTCTGTCTGTTAAGAGAAACCCAGTGTTGAAGCAAAGTTGGATAATTCATGCCAGTCAGTACACAGCAGAATGAAACCTCTTCTCCTGGATCAGGATCTTACCTGAGAATGAGCAATGCTTAGTCTTCGTCAAAAGTATGTGCACTGCAATGATTGCTCAGATCTCAGATTTCCCCAGTCTGGGTTAAAATCCCAGGGAAAACAAGACAAAAGTGGCATTCTAGTTTGCTCCCACAAAAATAAACAAATAAAATAAAACAAAGCCACTTTTGGCAGGAAATCTAATGCCAAAGGATTTGATGCAAAGAAAAGTTGCATACTTAAAAATAAGAGTAGACTACTTCAATTCACTAAACTCATGTGCAAACATAACAGTACTATGAAACCTTAAGAAGAACAGAGAAGAGAATACAGTCTGTAAGAATTTGATATGGAATGAACAGCAAAATAGTTTAGTTTCTTTTTTTTAACAACACATCCGGTATTATCATTTGCTGTTATACTGTTAATCTGATCTTAAAGCATTCAGGTTACGATAAATCTACATGCTGGTGTCCCAGTTGAGGATGGGTTCCTCTTTAGTTTATACAATACATTAACACACACTTTTGCTTGAATTAGATGACACTGTCATACTTTAAATTGATTGTGATATCTCAAATGAGATTTTGGAAACTGTTACCCACAGAATGCACATACCAAAAAAAAAAAAAAAAATAGAGCTGGTTTTACATTTTTGCAGTTTTAGCCCAAACAGCCCAGCTGGATTGCTAAATTAGAGATAAATTATTTTTTTAAACGTGTTTTAAAAAGCAAACACAATTTTCAGTCATATGATATGAAAACGCCCCATTCTATATAACTCCTACTGCCTACTTTCAAAAAATTCCTTTGTTCTGAAATCAGTTCACTGGCTATTAGAAGCAGTCACTGATGTAAATTCCATCTTGTTTATGAAAACATTCTGAACAAAGCATTAATTGTCCAGAATTTATTAAAAAAAAGAAAAAACCTCAAACCTATAAAACGTTGGCATCACTACTATTTGGGGCGTGAGAATGACATGCATATAAATCGTAGTTTACTGGCACAATCTTATACACTCAGAAGGAAGCTTTGCTGAAAATGGAATTCATTGTAATTCCTCTCTTTTACAGATTTGCTTTTAAGGAAAAAAAATCTGAAGCAAGTCATGGTTCTACTCTACAGTGGGAATGAGGGGTACAAGCCTTCTTGACATAGGTTGACTATGGTAGGAGAGAGAATTTATATAGGTAGAGTCTGGGGAAATCAGAAGGTGGGTGAAAACTCACAGATTTGCTCAGGATGTTTCTGATGACATTTGAGATTTTGTCAAGCCTTGATCCCTAGTAAGGACAAGGAAAACAAGCACCTGTCAGCAAGCATCCAAGCAACTGAAGCCACCCATGTGCCTCATACAGCACTGCTTTGCCTGTTAAATAGCTGATGAAAAATCAGAAACATCTCTCCTGATCTAGGCACAGATGAGATATTATCTAGCCTGAGCCTACCTTTCCACATCCACACTGAATAAGACTTGGCAGAGTCATTTGTTGTTTTAAAATGTAATCCTGATGGGAAGTAAGTGTTCAAGTTTCACTGTGGGAAGTGATGTAATTATCCTGGGGTTATGAGTAGCCTGCTCTTAGCAACAGGAGGATTTTGAAGTTATTGGCTGCCTAATCATTCTAAGTATCCTTGGTTTAAAGCAACTGGTTTTAAAAGTTTTACTTCTGCTAGAACCTGTAGGATATACCCTACTGGATGGTGAGATAAATCAACTGTGCAAATTGTGCAGGACCATTCAAATCCCAAGAAAGGAGAACCCCACAGTTGCACTGCTCTAGTTCTAAACAAATAAAACATCACTAGAGTAAAACAAGAGAAACAGCAGTGAACCAGTCCAAGAATCCTTCCAGATAATTCTTTCCTTTCACTTTTCCAGTAGTAAAATCATTGGCATCCACCAGGGATTGATGCAGAATTAGCCTTAAAGTGCTGCACTGAAGAGCAAACATTCTAGCAACCCAAGCACTATTCTGTTAAATCATTCTAATGGACTTCAAATCTTGTGGGTGGGATTTTCCCAAGTGAAAAATATGGCAATGCCACAAGTCTAAGTCCTTACTATTTCTTGGAATTTTAGTAACAGCCATAAAATTTGCTGTTGGCACCTGAATCTTTAGAAGCGCTAAACAAATTAGACAGTAAAACCTCAGTCCTGCAGGTCTTCTCCCAGTATGATACTTATTAATGTGGATGTGGTGAAGAATTTCATGAATGAATTCCAGAACTTTAAACAGAAATGTCGAAAATCAGGTTTCTAGATACACATTTGAACGCTCATTTTCTAATTTTGTTCAGCTTCTGAAAACCGCATGTACCAGAGCTTTTGAAAAAATCAAACCAATTTCTGTTGGTATTTAATCCGAATTGTGACCTGCAGGAAGACCATTTTCAGCAGTTTTCTAAGTTGATCTTAGTTCTTTGGAGCTAAAATGTCATAGGACAGATAGTTAAGATGATTTAAATGATGAACTTGGCCTCGGACTGACATGGAACATATCCATTGGAAGCACAATATCACCATTCATCTTAATGAAGTAGACCACCACTGATTACATGGCAAAGATCTTAATGAACTTGCCAACACTAAGCAATTTTCATACGCATAAAAGATAAGGAAAAAAAAAAAAAGTAGAATATCAGTAAAGTCTGAAAATAAGCTATCAAAATCAAAGCCATTTTAACAAGAGCTCAGCAACTTGTAGAGTGATTGCATGCATATATGAGACATGCTAGCTTGTCTGCACATACAGGATGCAATATCCACAGTCAGAAATATTATTTTCCAGCCCAATAATTCTTTGTTTAAACTAGACAATGAAAGAGTCATGCGATGTTGCTTGTGGCTGTTCAAGCATATTTTTAAGCCAGGGGACGTGTTTAGGCAAGCCAAAACTATGTATGATAATGGCAGTTGCAGAATTGGATCCGAGAGAGAGAGAGACAGCCCAGTGCCTTGAAAATAACACATCGTGGAGACAGAAAGGAGGTATGATCATCAGGACAATAATTTCTATATGTATGTAGAATATCTTGCACATCAGGGAGTGTTCATCTCAGCCATACTGTCAGCTACTGGGTAAGCTTGAATCGCTAAAAATGATGATATATCCATTCTAGTTTCATTCTTTGTGGCACAACTTCAGGCATTTCAGAATAATCCTACTTCCAAACAGCCTGTCTCTTTTAGCCCATCCCTCTCTGCCCTGGATACTTTTAAAACCCATGAGAAAAGAGTCCGTATGACAATCAAAAATTCATGATGCTTACTCTCTGAAAACCACTTTGGAAAGATCAGCCTGATGAGATAAGGAATTTGAACAAAAGCAGTCCTTTCTGCAGCCAGCCATGCGCATTTCCCAGGTGTGCCGCTTGGAGGTTGGCTTGACAGCTCTTTGCTGTCTGCTTTGCACAGCTCATATCAACTCCAACAACCTGTGTGCTGCTTTCAGGTTCTGGACGACAGCTGAGACCGGCAGAGCCTCCGGGAGATGCTGATGCTGATGCAGAAGATGAAGATTCTGTGAGTTTTTTAGGTTGTTTTGTCCCAAAACCTAGCAAATTATGGCTGCTGATTGCAAGCTCATTTCTTTAAAGCTTTATCTATGGTTCACCATCGACTGACTCCACAAGGAAGTATGCTGAGAGTTTGTCAGCCAAGTTCCTTCTGGGACTCCTATATGGTTTGCTTGTTTATAGAGGGCAATATAGTTTGAAGTTACATGATGCAGAGTTTAACCTTGCAAATGAAGCAAGAGATGGCATAAAGATGGCCTTTTTGAATTGTTGCTAATTGAGCTGTTAATACTTTCAGTCTGTCCAGCCCACAGATGCATACAATTCATAAAGAACATCAAAATAATTCTATCAGCTCTTCTACCAATAGGTGCCATTTTTTCCACGTGGAGGAATTCAATGACACATCTTCTCTGATGTTGTGAGCCAGTGTAATGAAATCAGAGGCATCATTTTCAGGGCATCCCTCATATTGCTGACCAAAGAGTTACTGCTTTATCTTCATTAAACATAACTAACGAAAGATGCTTACAAAGAAGGAGATGAAAAAATCTCTCGTAAAAATTGGGTCACCGTTTAATGGTGGATGTGTCTGTCCCACCCCTCATTTCTTTCCTACAGGTTAATGAAGTGGCAGTAGAAGACATCCGTCCAAGGCCACAGGGATCCTCACCAGTTTATGAATATTCCGTAGAAGAAGAATACTTAAAGGTAAGAATACTGAGGTTTTATCCAGGCATGGCTTTATTGAATTGATTCAGAAGGCTTTAGCTCCCATAGCTAGCCAAGACTCCTGTGTCATGTATATAATGTAGTTGCAGCTGTATTGTCTTCCTACCTACCCTCACCAAAATCCAGGCCATGTTCACTGATGTTGTATTGGATTTGTTGTTGGTCATCTTTTTGTTTCTCAGCAAAAAATACGATTGTCTGTGTTCTTTAAGGAATATGGGACAGAAAGCATCAAGAAATTGCAACGTTTTCTATAATTAAGATATTTAATTGGCTTGAATCTAGTATATATTTCAAAATCACCTTGTATCGATTAATTTTTCAAGAGTAAAGATTTAATTATTGCAGTCATGTTAAGTAGGCAACATTTTGAAATTGGTGCTGAAAGTCAAATAAATGGAAAACATGTATGTTATTCACAAAGATGAAAGCATGAGAAAGGTGTTGTATGAGAAAAATTATCAATGTCTTAATACAGCTGGTCTCCAGCATTCATTTCTTTCAGAGGCTTTCTTTCTTTCATTTCATCTAATCTACAGCTGGGGATAATATAGTTAAATCACTACCAGTGTACATCATACTTGTACGTTCCTGTTTTGTCTCTGCTGCTAATAAAGTCAGCCTCAATGTCTAAACCAGGCTTTATAACTGAGGCTGGGCTTTTGTTGTATGTTATGACAGCACAACTTCTGAACACTAAATAATGGAAATCTGTGTTTCAGCTGCAAGAAGAAAACAAAAAATATAGTACCGACAAATCAAAACAGAGTCATCCACAGGTCAGTCTAAAAGCACTCAACTGTTTTATGAATGTGGTTTGAAAAAATATTTTGTTACAACACACAGATGTTGATGGGTGAACAGAAAGAAAAAATGGGTAAAGAATCACTTCAGACTTATTTTGGACGAGAACTTAACAAGTTGTTCAGATTTGGCACAGGTCTGTGCATTTAATTCCTAGCTTGGAGTCCTTCTGTAATTCTTCTAAACACTCTTCAGTCTTCTCTGATTTGAGTAAGCGCAGCAGTAGCTCTTATTCTGACTGATTAATTCTAATTCAGGTGCCTAGCATCTTCACAGAAAATGCAATCTTTCAGCCCTAAGAAATTCCATATATTTCACATTTTAAAATTATAACCTATTTTGCCTGTGGCTCCGATGCAGCGTGGCCTAATGCATATGCTTAATTTAATTTAGGACACCCACACCAAACAGGTGCATTCTCTGCTTTAAATATACTTTCCTGAGCTACTGAAAATATACTTGAGGACAGTAATTCTATGATCTCAAACACTTCAATACAAATTAATACTTTTAAATTCACATCTTTTTCTACACCTAGGAAACAATGGAAGTGACCTTGAAAACAGAAGTGGAAGCTGGTGCTAGTGGTTTTAGCGTGGCTGGTGGAGGAAATGAAGGAATATTTATTAAAAAAGTATTTAAGGAATCTCCTGCTTCAAAAGTGTTTAGTCTGAGAGAAGGTACAGTCTGATTTTCTGATATATTTTTAGTCTTAGAATAATGAGACACGTAGCTGTGTTTGCCTATGGATACCTTCTGATCTGTCATCTCTTTGTATAATTGAAATAATAAATGCCAAACCAGCTAATAATATAACCTTTCCATATTAATAGTTCTAAAATTGGTTTCTTCAAGAGTAATGAAATGTGAATTGTTTTATATACTGTAAAAAATCTTATTTTTACTCTAATGGTGAAAAGAATATGCAGAAAGTAGTATACACATAATTGAAATGAAAGATCAACGTATTCCATTCACAAAGAACTTGCCTTTGATTCTTTTGCAAAATACTATGCAACAAAACTACAATAAATCATGATTTAATTAAGAACAAAACTCCGAGTTCTAAGTAGTGAAAAATGTAAGAAAATAACGTTACTGTCAGGGTGATCAGAACCCAAAGCAGGTTGCCCACAGAAGTTGTGGTCACCATGCTTACGAATGTTCACAACCTGACAGACGTGAGCAACATGTTGTAGCTGAGCATGCTCCAAGCAAGACCCTGTCCAGACAGAGCAGTTTGACTAGATGATTTGCTGTTCTCTGACTCTAGACTGTGAACATTATTTTGAATTTTAAATGAATGGTAGGTATTGATTATTTTATTCTGCGTGTGAACAAGAACACAACAGAATTTGAAGAATCACAAGAAGATACAAACTAATTAAAATAACATCCATCTGATTCCTCTTGCAGGTGATCAGCTTCTAAGTGCTACAATATTTTTTGATAATATCAAATATGAAGATGCACTCAAGATTCTTCAGTATTCAGAGCCATACAGAGTCCAATTCAGCCTGAAAAGAAAAATTGCTGGGAAAGAAGAGCTAGAACATTTTCACTCTACAGCTCAGTACAAAAAGGAACGATTAAGTCAGGTCATTACTTGTCTTATTTACAAAGTTTGGATAACACTATAGTGACATGCTGTGTGGAAATACAGAATAGAAAATATATTCACCTGTCTTCTTAAGACATAGCTATGTGTTTAAACTTAATAAAATTAATACCTGTTGGCATAAAAGCTACACTAAACCATATGTCATAGCTCCTCATCCAGATGCCTCTGCAACACTTCAAAATTCTTCCTGTAAATTTTCTCTTCATATCATACAAAAATGAATAATATTTTTACAGACATTGTTATAAATATAGATTATAAATATAGACAATTATTGAAAATTCTATTTACTACAGTATTTTGCAAAGAAGGTACACCTTCTTAAATCTACATATTACATTCATGAAATCCATTTACTTAACAGTAATAGTAATCTATTTAATTATCTTCTCCATTTTTAGGATTTTTTTTAATGTAACAGGTAGATAATGTGAATACAAAGCTCAATTTTCTACATACTTTATATTAGCTGTTTTGTTCTGTGTTGTTTCCATATTATTTTACACTTGATTTAGTAACTACCATTTGTTCTTTCAGGATAAAGAACTCAGTGAAAGCATTCCTGAAGAAACACTGCACGTTTCAGGAAAAGCTACTTCAGAAGAAGACAGAGAAACATTAATTGTAAACCAAAGGGTTGGAAGAAGCAAAAGACCTAAAAAAGATAGATTATCATGGCCAAAATTCCAGTCAATTAAAAATAAAAAGATACTGGGACACAGAAGATCTCACAGTACATCAGATGCATATGAGCCTGCTATACAAGATATTTCCCCTACAAGCACAGATACAGAGTCTCAACAAGAAATTCATATCAAACAAAAAAAAGGAAGCCAAAAGAAGCTGAAGTTCCCTAGTATTGGATTCAAAATGCACAGATCCAAAACAGAACATCAAGACAAGCAAAAAAAAGAAATAAATACTACATTGTTATATGAAAAACAAATAATACACAAAGAAGATATCAGCCTGGAAGGTCCTGAAATACTGACTGTTGAATATACTGCTTCTCCTGTTTCTGAAATGAAAACAGAAGAATTAAATGAAACTTCAACAAAAGACTTAAAAGATGTGGAAAATGGTATTCCTACATATGCAAAAAAGTGCCCTGAAGTTGAAATAAGCATAAAAAAGGAAAAGGAATCAACATTGAAATATACTGTACCTGAAGTGCAAGATATAACAAGAAAGGTATCAAAGCCAAGTTTAGAAGCAGATCTGAAAGAAACCCCAACAAAACAAACACCAAAAATCTCATCAAAATCCCCAAAAAAGAAGCAAAAAGGAACAGAAGATAAAACAGAAGGAGAAAACGGAATTAAAGAAGAAGTAATGGATCACACAGTGGAAGTAAACATAGAGGAAAGAAGTTTAGAAATAGGTAGAGCTAGAATTGAATTACAATCACCCGAGAAACTGGAAGAAAGAGAAAAACAAGCACAAGATGACAAACAGATACCAACAATTCAGAAAACAAAATTTTGGATGTCAGGGCCAAAAAGAAAAGAAACAGACACTAAAAAGATATTAACAAAACCAGAAATAGATGTTAAAGATTCAGTACCAGAAACAAAAGCTGAGAAAGAATTTGAGAAAGGAGGGAAAATGGATTTCAAAGCTCAGACACCCGCTACAGAAAAAGAAGAATCTACATGGAAAATAACAATACCACCAACTGAAATGGCCACATCACCTGTAGATGACATTAACATAGAAGACAGCAAAGTTGAATCCAAATACACAGTAAAAAAGAATCGGACAGAACAAAGAAACATACAAAGAGGTGACAGAAGTTCAAAGATAGAAAATATTGCAAAGAAAGGAGAAAAGGATGTTGATGGAAAAGAAAGCAAACAGAGATTACCAAAGTTTAAATTACCTACATTTACCTGGGGAACTACAAAAGATGAAACACACAAACCTGAAATTCTAGTAAGTGAGATGACGACTGCAATGGCTCCCAAAGTCGAGGTGGACGTCAGCGTGCCCAAAGCGGACGCCAGCCTCCCCGAGGCAGAGGTCAAGGCCGGCGCCGTCGACGTCAGCATCTCGGGCCCCGACATCAAGCTGCCCTCCGTGGAGGGCTCCCTCGACCTCCAGGCACCCAAGGTAGACCTGACAGTGCCCTCTGCCGAAGGCTCGCTCGATGGAGCCGAGCTGGAAGCCGCGGGCCTCAAAGGCAAGTTTAAGATGCCCAAGTTCGACAAGCCCAAATTCGGAGTGTCGGTACCCAAGGCGGAAGGGCCCGAAGGCGAGGTCAGCCTGCCCGCCGCAGAGGTCGAGCTGCCCTCCGGCGCTGTGACGGTCTCAGGGGAAGGCCCCTCACTGGACCTCAAAGCCGGTGCTAAAACCGAAGGGGCTGGCTGGAAACTGGAGAAGCCCTCCCTCAAAATGCCCAAAGCTGACATCAAAGCTCCCAAGGTGGACATCAGCCTGCCCTCCGTCGACATCACCCTTCCAAAGGCCGGTGCCGACCTGCAGGCGCCCGAGGCGGCTCTCAGCCTCGAGGGGGAGGTAAAAGCCCCGGAGAAGGAGGCCACCAAGGCAAAAGACGGCAAGTTCAAAATGCCCAAGTTCGGCATGCCTTCCTTTGGCTGGTCCAGCAGCAGAGAGGCCAAGGGCACCGTAGCTGCCGATGTGGACGTGAGCCTCAAGGAGCCCCAGGTGACGGCTCCCTCGGGAACCGCCGAAGTTGACGTGACCCTGCCCGGGGCCGAGATCCAAGCGCCCGGCGCTGAGGTGACCATCGAGGCGGCCGCAGACGCGGAGAAAGGCCGGTTCAAAATGCCCGACGTCAAGATGCCCAGCGTCAAGCTGCCCAAAGTCAAAGCTCCCCACGTGCAGGTCAGCCTGCCCAAGGCCGAGATCTCGCTGCCCAAAGCCCAGGGCGAAATCCCGGAGGGAGAGCTCGCCCTGCAGGGCCCCGATGCCGAAGGCAGCCTGGACGTGGCTGCCGGCAAAGCCGAGGGCGGCGGCATGAAACTACACATGCCAAAAGTCAAGGTGCCCAGCGTGGCCTTCTCCAAGCCGACCGTCAAGGCTCCCAAAGTCGAGGTGGACGTCAGCGTGCCCAAAGCGGACGCCAGCCTCCCCGAGGCAGAGGTCAAGGCCGGCGCCGTCGACGTCAGCATCTCGGGCCCCGACATCAAGCTGCCCTCCGTGGAGGGCTCCCTCGACCTCCAGGCACCCAAGGTAGACCTGACAGTGCCCTCTGCCGAAGGCTCGCTCGATGGAGCCGAGCTGGAAGCCGCGGGCCTCAAAGGCAAGTTTAAGATGCCCAAGTTCGACAAGCCCAAATTCGGAGTGTCGGTACCCAAGGCGGAAGGGCCCGAAGGCGAGGTCAGCCTGCCCGCCGCAGAGGTCGAGCTGCCCTCCGGCGCTGTGACGGTCTCAGGGGAAGGCCCCTCACTGGACCTCAAAGCCGGTGCTAAAACCGAAGGGGCTGGCTGGAAACTGGAGAAGCCCTCCCTCAAAATGCCCAAAGCTGACATCAAAGCTCCCAAGGTGGACATCAGCCTGCCCTCCGTCGACATCACCCTTCCAAAGGCCGGTGCCGACCTGCAGGCGCCCGAGGCGGCTCTCAGCCTCGAGGGGGAGGTAAAAGCCCCGGAGAAGGAGGCCACCAAGGCAAAAGACGGCAAGTTCAAAATGCCCAAGTTCGGCATGCCTTCCTTTGGCTGGTCCAGCAGCAGAGAGGCCAAGGGCACCGTAGCTGCCGATGTGGACGTGAGCCTCAAGGAGCCCCAGGTGACGGCTCCCTCGGGAACCGCCGAAGTTGACGTGACCCTGCCCGGGGCCGAGATCCAAGCGCCCGGCGCTGAGGTGACCATCGAGGCGGCCGCAGACGCGGAGAAAGGCCGGTTCAAAATGCCCGACGTCAAGATGCCCAGCGTCAAGCTGCCCAAAGTCAAAGCTCCCCACGTGCAGGTCAGCCTGCCCAAGGCCGAGATCTCGCTGCCCAAAGCCCAGGGCGAAATCCCGGAGGGAGAGCTCGCCCTGCAGGGCCCCGATGCCGAAGGCAGCCTGGACGTGGCTGCCGGCAAAGCCGAGGGCGGCGGCATGAAACTACACATGCCAAAAGTCAAGGTGCCCAGCGTGGCCTTCTCCAAGCCGACCGTCAAGGCTCCCAAAGTCGAGGTGGACGTCAGCGTGCCCAAAGCGGACGCCAGCCTCCCCGAGGCAGAGGTCAAGGCCGGCGCTGTCGACGTCAGCATCTCGGGCCCCGACATCAAGCTGCCCTCCGTGGAGGGCTCCCTCGACCTCCAGGCACCCAAGGTAGACCTGACAGTGCCCTCTGCCGAAGGCTCGCTCGATGGAGCCGAGCTGGAAGCCGCGGGCCTCAAAGGCAAGTTTAAGATGCCCAAGTTCGACAAGCCCAAATTCGGAGTGTCGGTACCCAAGGCGGAAGGGCCCGAAGGCGAGGTCAGCCTGCCCGCCGCAGAGGTCGAGCTGCCCTCCGGCGCTGTGACGGTCTCAGGGGAAGGCCCCTCACTGGACCTCAAAGCCGGTGCTAAAACCGAAGGGGCTGGCTGGAAACTGGAGAAGCCCTCCCTCAAAATGCCCAAAGCTGACATCAAAGCTCCCAAGGTGGACATCAGCCTGCCCTCCGTCGACATCACCCTTCCAAAGGCCGGTGCCGACCTGCAGGCGCCCGAGGCGGCTCTCAGCCTCGAGGGGGAGGTAAAAGCCCCGGAGAAGGAGGCCACCAAGGCAAAAGACGGCAAGTTCAAAATGCCCAAGTTCGGCATGCCTTCCTTTGGCTGGTCCAGCAGCAGAGAGGCCAAGGGCACCGTAGCTGCCGATGTGGACGTGAGCCTCAAGGAGCCCCAGGTGACGGCTCCCTCGGGAACCGCCGAAGTTGACGTGACCCTGCCCGGGGCCGAGATCCAAGCGCCCGGCGCTGAGGTGACCATCGAGGCGGCCGCAGACGCGGAGAAAGGCCGGTTCAAAATGCCCGACGTCAAGATGCCCAGCGTCAAGCTGCCCAAAGTCAAAGCTTCCCACGTGCAGGTCAGCCTGCCCAAGGCCGAGATCTCGCTGCCCAAAGCCCAGGGCGAAATCCCGGAGGGAGAGCTCGCCCTGCAGGGCCCCGATGCCGAAGGCAGCCTGGACGTGGCTGCCGGCAAAGCCGAGGGCGGCGGCATGAAACTACACATGCCAAAAGTCAAGGTGCCCAGCGTGGCCTTCTCCAAGCCGACCGTCAAGGCTCCCAAAGTCGAGGTGGACGTCAGCGTGCCCAAAGCGGACGCCAGCCTCCCCGAGGCAGAGGTCAAGGCCGGCGCCGTCGACGTCAGCATCTCGGGCCCCGACATCAAGCTGCCCTCCGTGGAGGGCTCCCTCGACCTCCAGGCACCCAAGGTAGACCTGACAGTGCCCTCTGCCGAAGGCTCGCTCGATGGAGCCGAGCTGGAAGCCGCGGGCCTCAAAGGCAAGTTTAAGATGCCCAAGTTCGACAAGCCCAAATTCGGAGTGTCGGTACCCAAGGCGGAAGGGCCCGAAGGCGAGGTCAGCCTGCCCGCCGCAGAGGTCGAGCTGCCCTCCGGCGCTGTGACGGTCTCAGGGGAAGGCCCCTCACTGGACCTCAAAGCCGGTGCTAAAACCGAAGGGGCTGGCTGGAAACTGGAGAAGCCCTCCCTCAAAATGCCCAAAGCTGACATCAAAGCTCCCAAGGTGGACATCAGCCTGCCCTCCGTCGACATCACCCTTCCAAAGGCCGGTGCCGACCTGCAGGCGCCCGAGGCGGCTCTCAGCCTCGAGGGGGAGGTAAAAGCCCCGGAGAAGGAGGCCACCAAGGCAAAAGACGGCAAGTTCAAAATGCCCAAGTTCGGCATGCCTTCCTTTGGCTGGTCCAGCAGCAGAGAGGCCAAGGGCACCGTAGCTGCCGATGTGGACGTGAGCCTCAAGGAGCCCCAGGTGACGGCTCCCTCGGGAACCGCCGAAGTTGACGTGACCCTGCCCGGGGCCGAGATCCAAGCGCCCGGCGCTGAGGTGACCATCGAGGCGGCCGCAGATGCGGAGAAAGGCCGGTTCAAAATGCCCGACGTCAAGATGCCCAGCGTCAAGCTGCCCAAAGTCAAAGCTCCCCACGTGCAGGTCAGCCTGCCCAAGGCCGAGATCTCGCTGCCCAAAGCCCAGGGCGAAATCCCGGAGGGAGAGCTCGCCCTGCAGGGCCCCGATGCCGAAGGCAGCCTGGACGTGGCTGCCGGCAAAGCCGAGGGCGGCGGCATGAAACTACACATGCCAAAAGTCAAGGTGCCCAGCGTGGCCTTCTCCAAGCCGACCGTCAAGGCTCCCAAAGTCGAGGTGGACGTCAGCGTGCCCAAAGCGGACGCCAGCCTCCCCGAGGCAGAGGTCAAGGCCGGCGCCGTCGACGTCAGCATCTCGGGCCCCGACATCAAGCTGCCCTCCGTGGAGGGCTCCCTCGACCTCCAGGCACCCAAGGTAGACCTGACAGTGCCCTCTGCCGAAGGCTCGCTCGATGGAGCCGAGCTGGAAGCCGCGGGCCTCAAAGGCAAGTTTAAGATGCCCAAGTTCGACAAGCCCAAATTCGGAGTGTCGGTACCCAAGGCGGAAGGGCCCGAAGGCGAGGTCAGCCTGCCCGCCGCAGAGGTTGAGCTGCCCTCCGGCGCTGTGACGGTCTCAGGGGAAGGCCCCTCACTGGACCTCAAAGCCGGTGCTAAAACCGAAGGGGCTGGCTGGAAACTGGAGAAGCCCTCCCTCAAAATGCCCAAAGCTGACATCAAAGCTCCCAAGGTGGACATCAGCCTGCCCTCCGTCGACATCACCCTTCCAAAGGCCGGTGCCGACCTGCAGGCGCCCGAGGCGGCTCTCAGCCTCGAGGGGGAGGTAAAAGCCCCGGAGAAGGAGGCCACCAAGGCAAAAGACGGCAAGTTCAAAATGCCCAAGTTCGGCATGCCTTCCTTTGGCTGGTCCAGCAGCAGAGAGGCCAAGGGCACCGTAGCTGCCGATGTGGACGTGAGCCTCAAGGAGCCCCAGGTGACGGCTCCCTCGGGAACCGCCGAAGTTGACGTGACCCTGCCCGGGGCCGAGATCCAAGCGCCCGGCGCTGAGGTGACCATCGAGGCGGCCGCAGACGCGGAGAAAGGCCGGTTCAAAATGCCCGACGTCAAGATGCCCAGCGTCAAGCTGCCCAAAGTCAAAGCTCCCCACGTGCAGGTCAGCCTGCCCAAGGCCGAGATCTCGCTGCCCAAAGCCCAGGGCGAAATCCCGGAGGGAGAGCTCGCCCTGCAGGGCCCCGATGCCGAAGGCAGCCTGGACGTGGCTGCCGGCAAAGCCGAGGGCGGCGGCATGAAACTACACATGCCAAAAGTCAAGGTGCCCAGCGTGGCCTTCTCCAAGCCGACCGTCAAGGCTCCCAAAGTCGAGGTGGACGTCAGCGTGCCCAAAGCGGACGCCAGCCTCCCCGAGGCAGAGGTCAAGGCCGGCGCCGTCGACGTCAGCATCTCGGGCCCCGACATCAAGCTGCCCTCCGTGGAGGGCTCCCTCGACCTCCAGGCACCCAAGGTAGACCTGACAGTGCCCTCTGCCGAAGGCTCGCTCGATGGAGCCGAGCTGGAAGCCGCGGGCCTCAAAGGCAAGTTTAAGATGCCCAAGTTCGACAAGCCCAAATTCGGAGTGTCGGTACCCAAGGCGGAAGGGCCCGAAGGCGAGGTCAGCCTGCCCGCCGCAGAGGTCGAGCTGCCCTCCGGCGCTGTGACGGTCTCAGGGGAAGGCCCCTCACTGGACCTCAAAGCCGGTGCTAAAACCGAAGGGGCTGGCTGGAAACTGGAGAAGCCCTCCCTCAAAATGCCCAAAGCTGACATCAAAGCTCCCAAGGTGGACATCAGCCTGCCCTCCGTCGACATCACCCTTCCAAAGGCCGGTGAAGACCTGCAGGCGCCCGAGGCGGCTCTCAGCCTCGAGGGGGAGGTAAAAGCCCCGGAGAAGGAGGCCACCAAGGCAAAAGACGGCAAGTTCAAAATGCCCAAGTTCGGCATGCCTTCCTTTGGCTGGTCCAGCAGCAGAGAGGCCAAGGGCACCGTAGCTGCCGATGTGGACGTGAGCCTCAAGGAGCCCCAGGTGACGGCTCCCTCGGGAACCGCCGAAGTTGACGTGACCCTGCCCGGGGCCGAGATCCAAGCGCCCGGCGCTGAGGTGACCATCGAGGCGGCCGCAGACGCGGAGAAAGGCCGGTTCAAAATGCCAGACGTCAAGATGCCCAGCGTCAAGCTGCCCAAAGTCAAAGCTCCCCACGTGCAGGTCAGCCTGCCCAAGGCCGAGATCTCGCTGCCCAAAGCCCAGGGCGAAATCCCGGAGGGAGAGCTCGCCCTGCAGGGCCCCGATGCCGAAGGCAGCCTGGACGTGGCTGCCGGCAAAGCCGAGGGCGGCGGCATGAAACTACACATGCCAAAAGTCAAGGTGCCCAGCGTGGCCTTCTCCAAGCCGACCGTCAAGGCTCCCAAAGTCGAGGTGGACGTCAGCATGCCCAAAGCGGACGCCAGCCTCCCCGAGGCAGAGGTCAAGGCCGGCGCCGTCGACGTCAGCATCTCGGGCCCCGACATCAAGCTGCCCTCCGTGGAGGGCTCCCTCGACCTCCAGGCACCCAAGGTAGACCTGACAGTGCCCTCTGCCGAAGGCTCGCTCGATGGAGCCGAGCTGGAAGCCGCGGGCCTCAAAGGCAAGTTTAAGATGCCCAAGTTCGACAAGCCCAAATTCGGAGTGTCGGTACCCAAGGCGGAAGGGCCCGAAGGCGAGGTCAGCCTGCCCGCCGCAGAGGTCGAGCTGCCCTCCGGCGCTGTGACGGTCTCAGGGGAAGGCCCCTCACTGGACCTCAAAGCCGGTGCTAAAACCGAAGGGGCTGGCTGGAAACTGGAGAAGCCCTCCCTCAAAATGCCCAAAGCTGACATCAAAGCTCCCAAGGTGGACATCAGCCTGCCCTCCGTCGACATCACCCTTCCAAAGGCCGGTGCCGACCTGCAGGCGCCCGAGGCGGCTCTCAGCCTCGAGGGGGAGGTAAAAGCCCCGGAGAAGGAGGCCACCAAGGCAAAAGACGGCAAGTTCAAAATGCCCAAGTTCGGCATGCCTTCCTTTGGCTGGTCCAGCAGCAGAGAGGCCAAGGGCACCGTAGCTGCCGATGTGGACGTGAGCCTCAAGGAGCCCCAGGTGACGGCTCCCTCGGGAACCGCCGAAGTTGACGTGACCCTGCCCGGGGCCGAGATCCAAGCGCCCGGCGCTGAGGTGACCATCGAGGCGGCCGCAGACGCGGAGAAAGGCCGGTTCAAAATGCCCGACGTCAAGATGCCCAGCGTCAAGCTGCCCAAAGTCAAAGCTCCCCACGTGCAGGTCAGCCTGCCCAAGGCCGAGATCTCGCTGCCCAAAGCCCAGGGCGAAATCCCGGAGGGAGAGCTCGCCCTGCAGGGCCCCGATGCCGAAGGCAGCCTGGACGTGGCTGCCGGCAAAGCCGAGGGCGGCGGCATGAAACTACACATGCCAAAAGTCAAGGTGCCCAGCGTGGCCTTCTCCAAGCCGACCGTCAAGGCTCCCAAAGTCGAGGTGGACGTCAGCGTGCCCAAAGCGGACGCCAGCCTCCCCGAGGCAGAGGTCAAGGCCGGCGCCGTCGACGTCAGCATCTCGGGCCCCGACATCAAGCTGCCCTCCGTGGAGGGCTCCCTCGACCTCCAGGCACCCAAGGTAGACCTGACAGTGCCCTCTGCCGAAGGCTCGCTCGATGGAGCCGAGCTGGAAGCCGCGGGCCTCAAAGGCAAGTTTAAGATGCCCAAGTTCGACAAGCCCAAATTCGGAGTGTCGGTACCCAAGGCGGAAGGGCCCGAAGGCGAGGTCAGCCTGCCCGCCGCAGAGGTCGAGCTGCCCTCCGGCGCTGTGACGGTCTCAGGGGAAGGCCCCTCACTGGACCTCAAAGCCGGTGCTAAAACCGAAGGGGCTGGCTGGAAACTGGAGAAGCCCTCCCTCAAAATGCCCAAAGCTGACATCAAAGCTCCCAAGGTGGACATCAGCCTGCCCTCCGTCGACATCACCCTTCCAAAGGCCGGTGCCGACCTGCAGGCGCCCGAGGCGGCTCTCAGCCTCGAGGGGGAGGTAAAAGCCCCGGAGAAGGAGGCCACCAAGGCAAAAGACGGCAAGTTCAAAATGCCCAAGTTCGGCATGCCTTCCTTTGGCTGGTCCAGCAGCAGAGAGGCCAAGGGCACCGTAGCTGCCGATGTGGACGTGAGCCTCAAGGAGCCCCAGGTGACGACTCCCTCGGGAACCGCCGAAGTTGACGTGACCCTGCCCGGGGCCGAGATCCAAGCGCCCGGCGCTGAGGTGACCATCGAGGCGGCCGCAGACGCGGAGAAAGGCCGGTTCAAAATGCCCGACGTCAAGATGCCCAGCGTCAAGCTGCCCAAAGTCAAAGCTTCCCACGTGCAGGTCAGCCTGCCCAAGGCCGAGATCTCGCTGCCCAAAGCCCAGGGCGAAATCCCGGAGGGAGAGCTCGCCCTGCAGGGCCCCGATGCCGAAGGCAGCCTGGACGTGGCTGCCGGCAAAGCCGAGGGCGGCGGCATGAAACTACACATGCCAAAAGTCAAGGTGCCCAGCGTGGCCTTCTCCAAGCCGACCGTCAAGGCTCCCAAAGTCGAGGTGGACGTCAACGTGCCCAAAGCGGACGCCAGCCTCCCCGAGGCAGAGGTCAAGGCCGGCGCCGTCGACGTCAGCATCTCGGGCCCCGACATCAAGCTGCCCTCCGTGGAGGGCTCCCTCGACCTCCAGGCACCCAAGGTAGACCTGACAGTGCCCTCTGCCGAAGGCTCGCTCGATGGAGCCGAGCTGGAAGCCGCGGGCCTCAAAGGCAAGTTTAAGATGCCCAAGTTCGACAAGCCCAAATTCGGAGTGTCGGTACCCAAGGCGGAAGGGCCCGAAGGCGAGGTCAGCCTGCCCGCCGCAGAGGTCGAGCTGCCCTCCGGCGCTGTGACGGTCTCAGGGGAAGGCCCCTCACTGGACCTCAAAGCCGGTGCTAAAACCGAAGGGGTTGGCTGGAAACTGGAGAAGCCCTCCCTCAAAATGCCCAAAGCTGACATCAAAGCTCCCAAGGTGGACATCAGCCTGCCCTCCGTCGACATCACCCTTCCAAAGGCCGGTGCCGACCTGCAGGCGCCCGAGGCGGCTCTCAGCCTCGAGGGGGAGGTAAAAGCCCCGGAGAAGGAGGCCACCAAGGCAAAAGACGGCAAGTTCAAAATGCCCAAGTTCGGCATGCCTTCCTTTGGCTGGTCCAGCAGCAGAGAGGCCAAGGGCACCGTAGCTGCCGATGTGGACGTGAGCCTCAAGGAGCCCCAGGTGACGGCTCCCTCGGGAACCGCCGAAGTTGACGTGACCCTGCCCGGGGCCGAGATCCAAGCGCCCGGCGCTGAGGTGACCATCGAGGCGGCCGCAGATGCGGAGAAAGGCCGGTTCAAAATGCCCGACGTCAAGATGCCCAGCGTCAAGCTGCCCAAAGTCAAAGCTCCCCACGTGCAGGTCAGCCTGCCCAAGGCCGAGATCTCGCTGCCCAAAGCCCAGGGCGAAATCCCGGAGGGAGAGCTCGCCCTGCAGGGCCCCGATGCCGAAGGCAGCCTGGACGTGGCTGCCGGCAAAGCCGAGGGCGGCGGCATGAAACTACACATGCCAAAAGTCAAGGTGCCCAGCGTGGCCTTCTCCAAGCCGACCGTCAAGGCTCCCAAAGTCGAGGTGGACGTCAGCATGCCCAAAGCGGATGCCAGCCTCCCCGAGGCAGAGGTCAAGGCCGGCGCCGTCGACGTCAGCATCTCGGGCCCCGACATCAAGCTGCCCTCCGTGGAGGGCTCCCTCGACCTCCAGGCACCCAAGGTAGACCTGACAGTGCCCTCTGCCGAAGGCTCGCTCGATGGAGCCGAGCTGGAAGCCGCGGGCCTCAAAGGCAAGTTTAAGATGCCCAAGTTCGACAAGCCCAAATTCGGAGTGTCGGTACCCAAGGCGGAAGGGCCCGAAGGCGAGGTCAGCCTGCCCGCCGCAGAGGTCGAGCTGCCCTCCGGCGCTGTGACGGTCTCAGGGGAAGGCCCCTCACTGGACCTCAAAGCCGGTGCTAAAACCGAAGGGGCTGGCTGGAAACTGGAGAAGCCCTCCCTCAAAATGCCCAAAGCTGACATCAAAGCTCCCAAGGTGGACATCAGCCTGCCCTCCGTCGACATCACCCTTCCAAAGGCCGGTGCCGACCTGCAGGCGCCCGAGGCGGCTCTCAGCCTCGAGGGGGAGGTAAAAGCCCCGGAGAAGGAGGCCACCAAGGCAAAAGACGGCAAGTTCAAAATGCCCAAGTTCGGCATGCCTTCCTTTGGCTGGTCCAGCAGCAGAGAGGCCAAGGGCACCGTAGCTGCCGATGTGGACGTGAGCCTCAAGGAGCCCCAGGTGACGGCTCCCTCGGGAACCGCCGAAGTTGACGTGACCCTGCCCGGGGCCGAGATCCAAGCGCCCGGCGCTGAGGTGACCATCGAGGCGGCCGCAGACGCGGAGAAAGGCCGGTTCAAAATGCCCGACGTCAAGATGCCCAGCGTCAAGCTGCCCAAAGTCAAAGCTCCCCACGTGCAGGTCAGCCTGCCCAAGGCCGAGATCTCGCTGCCCAAAGCCCAGGGCGAAATCCCGGAGGGAGAGCTCGCCCTGCAGGGCCCCGATGCCGAAGGCAGCCTGGACGTGGCTGCCGGCAAAGCCGAGGGCGGCGGCATGAAACTACACATGCCAAAAGTCAAGGTGCCCAGCGTGGCCTTCTCCAAGCCGACCGTCAAGGCTCCCAAAGTCGAGGTGGACGTCAACGTGCCCAAAGCGGACGCCAGCCTCCCCGAGGCAGAGGTCAAGGCCGGCGCCGTCGACGTCAGCATCTCGGGCCCCGACATCAAGCTGCCCTCCGTGGAGGGCTCCCTCGACCTCCAGGCACCCAAGGTAGACCTGACAGTGCCCTCTGCCGAAGGCTCGCTCGATGGAGCCGAGCTGGAAGCCGCGGGCCTCAAAGGCAAGTTTAAGATGCCCAAGTTCGACAAGCCCAAATTCGGAGTGTCGGTACCCAAGGCGGAAGGGCCCGAAGGCGAGGTCAGCCTGCCCGCCGCAGAGGTCGAGCTGCCCTCCGGCGCTGTGACGGTCTCAGGGGAAGGCCCCTCACTGGACCTCAAAGCCGGTGCTAAAACCGAAGGGGCTGGCTGGAAACTGGAGAAGCCCTCCCTCAAAATGCCCAAAGCTGACATCAAAGCTCCCAAGGTGGACATCAGCCTGCCCTCCGTCGACATCACCCTTCCAAAGGCCGGTGCCGACCTGCAGGCGCCCGAGGCGGCTCTCAGCCTCGAGGGGGAGGTAAAAGCCCCGGAGAAGGAGGCCACCAAGGCAAAAGACGGCAAGTTCAAAATGCCCAAGTTCGGCATGCCTTCCTTTGGCTGGTCCAGCAGCAGAGAGGCCAAGGGCACCGTAGCTGCCGATGTGGACGTGAGCCTCAAGGAGCCCCAGGTGACGGCTCCCTCGGGAACCGCCGAAGTTGACGTGACCCTGCCCGGGGCCGAGATCCAAGCGCCCGGCGCTGAGGTGACCATCGAGGCGGCCGCAGACGCGGAGAAAGGCCGGTTCAAAATGCCCGACGTCAAGATGCCCAGCGTCAAGCTGCCCAAAGTCAAAGCTCCCCACGTGCAGGTCAGCCTGCCCAAGGCCGAGATCTCGCTGCCCAAAGCCCAGGGCGAAATCCCGGAGGGAGAGCTCGCCCTGCAGGGCCCCGATGCCGAAGGCAGCCTGGACGTGGCTGCCGGCAAAGCCGAGGGCGGCGGCATGAAACTACACATGCCAAAAGTCAAGGTGCCCAGCGTGGCCTTCTCCAAGCCGACCGTCAAGGCTCCCAAAGTCGAGGTGGACGTCAGCGTGCCCAAAGCGGACGCCAGCCTCCCCGAGGCAGAGGTCAAGGCCGGCGCCGTCGACGTCAGCATCTCGGGCCCCGACATCAAGCTGCCCTCCGTGGAGGGCTCCCTCGACCTCCAGGCACCCAAGGTAGACCTGACAGTGCCCTCTGCCGAAGGCTCGCTCGATGGAGCCGAGCTGGAAGCCGCGGGCCTCAAAGGCAAGTTTAAGATGCCCAAGTTCGACAAGCCCAAATTCGGAGTGTCGGTACCCAAGGCGGAAGGGCCCGAAGGCGAGGTCAGCCTGCCCGCCGCAGAGGTCGAGCTGCCCTCCGGCGCTGTGACGGTCTCAGGGGAAGGCCCCTCACTGGACCTCAAAGCCGGTGCTAAAACCGAAGGGGCTGGCTGGAAACTGGAGAAGCCCTCCCTCAAAATGCCCAAAGCTGACATCAAAGCTCCCAAGGTGGACATCAGCCTGCCCTCCGTCGACATCACCCTTCCAAAGGCCGGTGCCGACCTGCAGGCGCCCGAGGCGGCTCTCAGCCTCGAGGGGGAGGTAAAAGCCCCGGAGAAGGAGGCCACCAAGGCAAAAGACGGCAAGTTCAAAATGCCCAAGTTCGGCATGCCTTCCTTTGGCTGGTCCAGCAGCAGAGAGGCCAAGGGCACCGTAGCTGCCGATGTGGACGTGAGCCTCAAGGAGCCCCAGGTGACGGCTCCCTCGGGAACCGCCGAAGTTGACGTGACCCTGCCCGGGGCCGAGATCCAAGCGCCCGGCGCTGAGGTGACCATCGAGGCGGCCGCAGATGCGGAGAAAGGCCGGTTCAAAATGCCCGACGTCAAGATGCCCAGCGTCAAGCTGCCCAAAGTCAAAGCTCCCCACGTGCAGGTCAGCCTGCCCAAGGCCGAGATCTCGCTGCCCAAAGCCCAGGGCGAAATCCCGGAGGGAGAGCTCGCCCTGCAGGGCCCCGATGCCGAAGGCAGCCTGGACGTGGCTGCCGGCAAAGCCGAGGGCGGCGGCATGAAACTACACATGCCAAAAGTCAAGGTGCCCAGCGTGGCCTTCTCCAAGCCGACCGTCAAGGCTCCCAAAGTCGAGGTGGACGTCAGCATGCCCAAAGCGGATGCCAGCCTCCCCGAGGCAGAGGTCAAGGCCGGCGCCGTCGACGTCAGCATCTCGGGCCCCGACATCAAGCTGCCCTCCGTGGAGGGCTCCCTCGACCTCCAGGCACCCAAGGTAGACCTGACAGTGCCCTCTGCCGAAGGCTCGCTCGATGGAGCCGAGCTGGAAGCCGCGGGCCTCAAAGGCAAGTTTAAGATGCCCAAGTTCGACAAGCCCAAATTCGGAGTGTCGGTACCCAAGGCGGAAGGGCCCGAAGGCGAGGTCAGCCTGCCCGCCGCAGAGGTCGAGCTGCCCTCCGGCGCTGTGACGGTCTCAGGGGAAGGCCCCTCACTGGACCTCAAAGCCGGTGCTAAAACCGAAGGGGCTGGCTGGAAACTGGAGAAGCCCTCCCTCAAAATGCCCAAAGCTGACATCAAAGCTCCCAAGGTGGACATCAGCCTGCCCTCCGTCGACATCACCCTTCCAAAGGCCGGTGCCGACCTGCAGGCGCCCGAGGCGGCTCTCAGCCTCGAGGGGGAGGTAAAAGCCCCGGAGAAGGAGGCCACCAAGGCAAAAGACGGCAAGTTCAAAATGCCCAAGTTCGGCATGCCTTCCTTTGGCTGGTCCAGCAGCAGAGAGGCCAAGGGCACCGTAGCTGCCGATGTGGACGTGAGCCTCAAGGAGCCCCAGGTGACGGCTCCCTCGGGAACCACCGAAGTTGACGTGACCCTGCCCGGGGCCGAGATCCAAGCGCCCGGCACTGAGGTGACCATCGAGGCGGCCGCAGACGCGGAGAAAGGCCGGTTCAAAATGCCCGACGTCAAGATGCCCAGCGTCAAGCTGCCCAAAGTCAAAGCTCCCCACGTGCAGGTCAGCCTGCCCAAGGCCGAGATCTCGCTGCCCAAAGCCCAGGGCGAAATCCCGGAGGGAGAGCTCGCCCTGCAGGGCCCCGATGCCGAAGGCAGCCTGGACGTGGCTGCCGGCAAAGCCGAGGGCAGCGGCATGAAACTACACATGCCAAAAGTCAAGGTGCCCAGCGTGGCCTTCTCCAAGCCGACCGTCAAGGCTCCCAAAGTCGAGGTGGACGTCAGCGTGCCCAAAGCGGACGCCAGCCTCCCCGAGGCAGAGGTCAAGGCCGGCGCCGTCGACGTCAGCATCTCGGGCCCCGACATCAAGCTGCCCTCCGTGGAGGGCTCCCTCGACCTCCAGGCACCCAAGGTAGACCTGACAGTGCCCTCTGCCGAAGGCTCGCTCGATGGAGCCGAGCTGGAAGCCGCGGGCCTCAAAGGCAAGTTTAAGATGCCCAAGTTCGACAAGCCCAAATTCGGAGTGTCGGTACCCAAGGCGGAAGGGCCCGAAGGCGAGGTCAGCCTGCCCGCCGCAGAGGTCGAGCTGCCCTCCGGCGCTGTGACGGTCTCAGGGGAAGGCCCCTCACTGGACCTCAAAGCCGGTGCTAAAACCGAAGGGGCTGGCTGGAAACTGGAGAAGCCCTCCCTCAAAATGCCCAAAGCTGACATCAAAGCTCCCAAGGTGGACATCAGCCTGCCCTCCGTCGACATCACCCTTCCAAAGGCCGGTGCCGACCTGCAGGCGCCCGAGGCGGCTCTCAGCCTCGAGGGGGAGGTAAAAGCCCCGGAGAAGGAGGCCACCAAGGCAAAAGACGGCAAGTTCAAAATGCCCAAGTTCGGCATGCCTTCCTTTGGCTGGTCCAGCAGCAGAGAGGCCAAGGGCACCGTAGCTGCCGATGTGGACGTGAGCCTCAAGGAGCCCCAGGTGACGGCTCCCTCGGGAACCGCCGAAGTTGACGTGACCCTGCCCGGGGCCGAGATCCAAGCGCCCGGCGCTGAGGTGACCATCGAGGCGGCCGCAGACGCGGAGAAAGGCCGGTTCAAAATGCCCGACGTCAAGATGCCCAGCGTCAAGCTGCCCAAAGTCAAAGCTCCCCACGTGCAGGTCAGCCTGCCCAAGGCCGAGATCTCGCTGCCCAAAGCCCAGGGCGAAATCCCGGAGGGAGAGCTCGCCCTGCAGGGCCCCGATGCCGAAGGCAGCCTGGACGTGGCTGCCGGCAAAGCCGAGGGCGGCGGCATGAAACTACACATGCCAAAAGTCAAGGTGCCCAGCGTGGCCTTCTCCAAGCCGACCGTCAAGGCTCCCAAAGTCGAGGTGGACGTCAGCGTGCCCAAAGCGGACGCCAGCCTCCCCGAGGCAGAGGTCAAGGCCGGCGCCGTCGACGTCAGCATCTCGGGCCCCGACATCAAGCTGCCCTCCGTGGAGGGCTCCCTCGACCTCCAGGCACCCAAGGTAGACCTGACAGTGCCCTCTGCCGAAGGCTCGCTCGATGGAGCCGAGCTGGAAGCCGCGGGCCTCAAAGGCAAGTTTAAGATGCCCAAGTTCGACAAGCCCAAATTCGGAGTGTCGGTACCCAAGGCGGAAGGGCCCGAAGGCGAGGTCAGCCTGCCCGCCGCAGAGGTCGAGCTGCCCTCCGGCGCTGTGACGGTCTCAGGGGAAGGCCCCTCACTGGACCTCAAAGCCGGTGCTAAAACCGAAGGGGCTGGCTGGAAACTGGAGAAGCCCTCCCTCAAAATGCCCAAAGCTGACATCAAAGCTCCCAAGGTGGACATCAGCCTGCCCTCCGTCGACATCACCCTTCCAAAGGCCGGTGCCGACCTGCAGGCGCCCGAGGCGGCTCTCAGCCTCGAGGGGGAGGTAAAAGCCCCGGAGAAGGAGGCCACCAAGGCAAAAGACGGCAAGTTCAAAATGCCCAAGTTCGGCATGCCTTCCTTTGGCTGGTCCAGCAGCAGAGAGGCCAAGGGCACCGTAGCTGCCGACGTGGACGTGAGCCTCAAGGAGCCTCCACGTGACTTGTCCCTTCCTGCTGCTGAGATACCATCACCTGTCATTGCTGTTACCTCTAGTTCATCCTCTGTGAAGGAGGATTCTACTGGCAAATCTAAAGGTTCTTTATTCAGTATGCCTAGAGTTTCACTTTCTAAAAGTTCAAGGCATGAGCTTCAAAGTAAGTCTAGTAGTGAATGTTCCGAGTCAGAATCTATTTGTTATTCAGTAACAGAAGAGTCTCCTGCTGTTATTTCTGGCAGTGTCGGAAGTAAACTTGTTCGTGACTTTAAGGGAGACAGCTCTTCTAAAAGCAGTAAATTTAGAATTCCTAGTTTGGGTTTCTCCAAAGTTGATATTAGTTCTTCTAAATTTGATCAAGATTCCCCATTATCAAAAGGGGATATAACTCTTACCAAATATCAGGTGAATGTAGCAGAATCTGAATCAAAAATTTCATCTTCTGCTGATGTGAACGTTTCATTTACAGAATCTGAGATTATGAAACTAGAGGGTTCTTGTGAGCAAGGTAGTTTGAAGCCAGAAAAAGTAAAATCACCACCTGCTGAGCGGTGTGTTGGTGATTCAGAATATACGGTTAAAATACCTAAGTTCCGAAAACCAAAGTTTGGATTTTCTTGGTCAAAAGGAAAACCACCAGCAACTGATGTTGGTTCCAAATCCGAATCTCAATTTTCCAAGGAACAGATGACATCTGAAATGTTTGATATTGAAAATCCAGCTCAGATTCCTGATTCTGAGTTTGACCTAAAAATGCCAAAGCCATCACCTGAATTTGTTACGGGTGCTTCAGAGTTGGATGTTAGTCTTCCATCCCCAGAGGTTACCATGCCAAAGCTAGAAATGGATATTCATGGTCCAGAGTGCAGGAAAGAGCAGGAGTTAATTTCTGGTGAGAAGGACACTGAGGATAAAGAAAGCAAATCTAAAATGTCAAAATTCAGACTACTGTCATTTAATTGGTCCCCAAAGAAAGAAGCTATTGCTCCTTCTGAAGCTGAAGGACACCTGGAAGAATGCACTATTTTATCTGAAGACACAGAATCTAAATTAGCACCAATTACCCCCGACAATCAAGACCTTCATGTGGAATTAAATACAGCAACAGAAAAAGATGGTGAAACAGGCAAAACCAAGAAGTCTCAATTTATCATGCCAAAGATCTCCCTTACTAAAGTGAAGGGTCAAAAAGTCCAGGGCTCTCTGCCCATACTAGAAACTGATGTTTGTGATCTCAAACAAGAAAAATGTGGAGATGCTTCAGTACAGAAATCTGACAAAGGGAGTAGTGAAGAAAGGGCAGAAATGGGTGTAAAGATGCCAAAAGTTAGAGTTTCAACTTCTGAATTTTCCAAACCTGAAGTTGAAGGACCCAAAATACAAATGGACATTAGCATACCTGCAGGTGAGGTCATCCTTACTGCTTGTGAACAAGATGACCTGAACCAGAAATCAGCTGCTGCTGATACTCCTTCCTCAGGTACTAAGATGACAACTGAAGCCTCACTTGAGGTGAAGAGTCCTGAGGCAAGTGTTGGAAGAATATCTAGTGAAATTGCCATGAGTGGTGTAGAAATAAAAGTTGAAGGTCCTGAAGGGAAAACAAAAACGTCAAAATTCCAAGTGCCAAAGTTTGGAATGACAAATTCTAAAGGGAAAGGATCAGAAAAGGAGGTCGGCCAAACCAAATCAGAAGCCAAGGTTCCCCAGCTAAAAGCTACGATAGAAATAGCTGATATTGCTGTGGAAGCACCAAATTTGGAGGTGGAATGTACTGAAGGAAAAGAATCTTCCAGCTCTAAATTGAGAATAACCAAAGCTGACAAGAAGGCATCAGAAGCTGATACTCACTTCCCAACAGGTGAGATTTCTATCTCAAAAACAGACAGTGATATGCAAGATTCAGATATGACACTAAAAATTAAAGAGGAAACAAAGCACAGGAATGAAGACGGAGAAGAGAAAGAAGGACATTTCAAAATGCCAAAATTCAAACTTCCATCCTTCAGTTGGTCACCAAAGAAGGAAGCAACTGTTAAGGCAGATTCTGAAGCAAATTTAGAAGACAGTCAAGTTGCTGTAACGTCAGGTGGAACAGACACAGAAGTGGAAGGAACTGTAGCTGATGATCAAGGACTCAGGCCTGCCCTTGATGTGGAAATACTTGCTGGAAAAGATCAACAAAAAAGTCCAATTAAAAAGCCTCAGTTTGTAATGCCTAAAATTTCACTTTCCAAGATCAAGATTCCCAAATCTCAGGGACATTCATTAAAAATTGAAGCTGGAAATACTGTAACTAAAACAGAAAGAGATGGAGTTGATTCAATACAGATACCTGATATAGAAAGAAGTCATTCCACACAGACAGAAGAAGGGGCACAAATAAGCATAAAAACAGCTGCAGTTAAGATCCCCACTTTGGAGCTTTCCAAAACAGAAGCCATCCAAGCTGATTTGGGAGTCAGCTCATCCAAGATTGATACTGCTCTGACTGTCTCAGAGGAGAGTTTTCAACAGGTTGTCCTAAAATCGAGTTCTGATAAAGATTCTATTAAAAAAACAGGCACTGAGTTCCCTGAAGGAGAAGCTTCAACTGAACCGAGAAGCACCAAAATAGCAACAGAAGGATCATTAGTTACGGATGGAAGAAAGATGAAATTGGAAGGTCACGATGTACAGATTAAAATGCCCAAATTCCAGAAGCCAAAGTTTGGAATCTCCCTGACAAAAGGGAAAGGCCCAGATCCAGAGATCAGCTCTCCAAAATTAGAAGCTGAGCTACCTCAGCTAAAAATGACAGCAGAAGTTGCTGACATTGCTGGGAGAGTGCCAGCATCAGCATTTACATCTGATATGTCAGATCCTGGGCTAGAGGTTTCTGCTTCAAAGGCAAAAACACCCCAAGTTCTGACGGCTGTCATTGAAGCTCCAAAGGTAGATGTAAGCCCCCAGTCAGAGTCTAAAGCAGTGATAGGGGGAGATACTGACAGCCTAAAGGATAAAGAAATCAAAACAGAAGAAGAAGTGAAAGCTGAAGAAGCTCAGACTGAAGAACATCAGGGATGGTTTAAAATGCCAAAATTCAGAATACCTGCATTTGGCCGCACGTCTTTAAAGGAAAAGAAGGGTGATACAGATGTTGAAAGAAGTCTAGAAAAACCTCAGGCAGGCATTCCTTCTGCCAAAGTACAAACTGAAGCTGAAGTTACTATTGGAAAAGAAGAAACTCCAAAATTAGGAGATTCTGCGGAGAGTTCTGTTACTAGCTTGCCAAAGGTAGAAGGAGATATTTCATTATCTGCAAAAAGCAAAGACAGTAGAGTAAATATTCAAAAACATGAAACTTATGCAGACATAGTTAAGCGTGGTGCTGACGGACAAAAAATGCACAGTTCGGAATTCACAGTGTCTTCCGTGGAATTATCTAAAATGGAAATAAGTGCTTCAATAATTGACAAAGATAACAGTTCACAAAGTAAGTTCCCTACGGGTACCCTGACTCTTCAAGACCAGAAAGTCAAATCACAGGACAGAGATACTCCAAAAGTAGAAAGTTCCACTGAAGTAAAGACTTCAAGTGCAGAATTTAAAACATTATCAGGTGAAGTTACTCTGGACAGAACACAGGAAGAAACAGATGCAAGTCTTGCAAAGGGAGAATTAGACCTTCAAAATCAAGGGGCAGTGATTAAAACAGTAAAGATAAGGACAAGTGAGATGAAAATTATAGGAAAAGACAGTGAATTAAAATGGTCTACAGGTGAGTGGGCTACTGCAAAGGGATCAGAAGATGCTGTTTACGTTGCAGCTAAGATGAAAGATGTAAAGGTAGATGTTCCAGAAGTGAAAACGGATGTTGAAATTGAGAGGGTAGATCCTGAAATGGAATGTCAAGTGAAATGTGTTGAAAAGGACATGTCTGCAAATGTGGAAGCGCAAGTGGAAGACAGAGTAGAAACAAGTAAAATTAAAACATACAAGTTTAAGATTCCAAGGTTTGGAATATTACATTCAGAAGTGAAGGGTTTTGAAGATGATATCAGTTTGCCAAAGTCAGGAGCTGTTTCAGTGTCTAAAACTGAAACAGGCAGAGTGGAAACGCAGTTACAAAAATCAGAAGGATCCATTGGCCCAACAAGTCCAACTACAGATCACAAAGAATCATCTGCTAGAATTACAGTGGACAAATCACAAGGTGATCCAGAAGTAAATATAAAAATTCCCAAACTAAAAATACCAAGATTCACTTTCAGAGTTCTCCCAAGTGAAGCTGATGTTTCATTGTCAAAAGTGGTAACAGATCCAAAAGGAACTAGTGCTGACATCGAAGTGGTGCACTTGCAAGCAAGCTCTACTATCCCTGAAGAAATATCAGAGACTCTGGAAGGTGATATTCAAAAAGCAAAAAGCAAAATTCTAACACTGATTGAACCTGACATTAAAACAGCACAGATGACTGCTACCATAGATTCCTGCCTTTCAAATGCAGGGCAAGACATTCATTGGTCATACGTAGAAGGCCAAGAAGTGAGAGAGAAAGTAGAACCTGAACATGTTTCTATTGAAAGGTGTGAAATTTACTCTACCCAGATACTGAAGGAATCAGAGATTCTCTCATCAGAGGTTAAAACTGCTACCTTGGGATTTTCATTGCTCAAGGCGAAGTTGCCTGAATCACATAGCAACTTAGAAGTGCTAGTCCAGCAAAGCCCTTCAATGGAAAATGCATCATCAGTGAACACATCTGACCATTCTGATGAAAGTTTTGTAGTAAGTGCACAGAGGACTGTCATTGCTGAACTTAAACTATCTGACAGACCACACAGTGAGACTGAAGAATCTAGCGGAATGACAGGTTTACCAACATTAAAAACATTTGCTGCTGAAGTAAAGCCTTCCAGTAAACCTGAAGAGAGTCATCCTGATAAGGCACCAGAGAAAACAGCTGCAGCTCCTCTCTCTAAAGATGAGGATATAGCCAAAGCACAAGAAGATGAAGAAAAGGATGTAACTGATGAAAAAGAAAAGGCTGACAGCAAAAGGTCTCCTGGAAGATTCAAATTTTGGCTTCCAAGTATTGGCTTTTCATCTTCTGGTGATGAAACAAGCTCAGATTCAAAAACAGAAGTAAAAAAATCAGAAGAAACAAGGCCAGAAGATATGAAACCTGCTGACACATCAGTTAGTGATTCTTCTAAGCAAACTGAAAAAACTGGATGGTTTAGATTTCCCAAACTAGGTTTCACATCTCCTTCCAAAAAAGCTAAGATTGTCGACAAAGAAGAGACAGGTGATAAAGAGAGAGGAATATCAGATGAAGATAGCCCTTCAGATAAACCTGATGTATTTTTTGATGCACAGGAAAGCTTATCACCTAAAGAAATAGCAGAGAGTGAAAAACAAGAAATCGATGGGACTTCATCTAATATTCCAGTTTCTCAAACTATCGTTACATCTTCAGCAAGGACTGAACTAATCTTGTTGGAGCAAGAAAAAGCTGGTCAACCTAATATCCCTGGAGATGCAACCAAATGAAGATTGCCTTCTGCCAACCACCCAGAGAAAAGAGAATAATCTATACAGGAGAAAAGAAAAGGAAAAAAAACCAATCCTAATTTGCCAGTAACCAAATATTAAACAAAACCTACAGGTGATATTTACAGAAACAGTTTGTTGAAGAGAATTTACCACATCTAAACCTTCCTGTACTTGAATGTGCTATACTGTGTAGTAATAAAAATAGTGATCTTTCCAAATCTGCTCCAAAGGCAAGAACAGGTACAGGGGAGTTCATAGTTCTAATAAGGTCTGAAAAGATACCTGAACCATGAAAGTAAACCTTTGAAAGACTCAATGACAGCAAAATGTCTTGTTAAATATGCTTCTCAAAAACACACCAGTTAGGATTAGATGATATATTATTTGCAGAGCAGAGTATAAACTAGTACTATGAGAATTATATTTACCTGTTTAGATTTTGGATCTCTCTGACTTATTTTTGCTTTCTTACTAAATCTTTCTTTATTTCAGCTAAAATAAACACATACTCCACAATCATTTTAAAAAGCAAAATGAAAACAAAATACTAGTGTAGACAAACAGAGGCTTTACCCCTTCCTCTCTTCTCATGTTTTTTTATTATCGTGGTGGGTCATATTTAGCCTTAAAAGATTAACAAATAAATAAATTCAAGACAAAAAATATATATATTTCACATTTTTAAGGTATCCAAATAATGGTGAAAACTATTATAAAAAATGTGGATAAATAAATTTTTATGTGTATATCTACTGAATAGTTAAATGCACAGAATGATCTGCCATGCTTTGGTGGAATTGCTTCAGATATTTTCTGGGAAAGGAGATGTATATAGTTATTTACCTCTTTGTTTATATTAATGCTTCTCTCAAGTGCACAGCCAAAACCAGAGTGCATATATGACGGCCTTCATATGTATCATTAAAACACTACATTCTTAATTCACAATAAATTCACTACATGAAAAATAACACGAGTAGCCTGAATTACTGCCAGTGCCACTTGGCTCACTCTCAAAACTACAGCTGGAAATGCCAGCCTAAATTTGCATAAGATTTGATCATCTCCCACCCTCTGCTGAAATGACTGCCTAATGGCAGCATGGTTTCTAAATATGATGGTGATGGATACAAACTAATCTGAGACTTTTCACCCATTGCATTTCTGAGTTCTGAGTGTGCAGTCATGCTTCTTTATGGTGCTTTTCTCATCCTGTATTTTTTTCCTCTGTATTCTATTTACAACAGGGAAAAGAGACAAAGCAAATTGTTTAGAAATTAAGTTATAAAGGAAACGTACTTAGGTGTGTAACCATGTGGGACCTGAGGTGTTCTTCATCTTTGCAGAAAGGAGATGGTCAGTTAAAACTGAGCTCTGAGATGATAGTGATAACCACAGAGCAAGACTCACGACTCTGTTTTTAAAAGATGAATGCACTAGATGAGGAAGGAAGAGGAGAGAAAAAAGCAGCAGTAAAACCTTCCTCCAAATGGGCTCCTGTAAGCTTTAGGGAAAGCAGAAGTTAGGAAAAAAAGCAACCAGGTTAATGAGGCGTAACCCAAGGCTCTGGCCACAGGAATAGCTAAAGACAGAACCCAAAAGAGTGCAAGGAACACAGAGACAAATCTTCAAAACACACATACTTCAGTCAACAGGCTCCTGTGGTTCTGGCTCCACCTACCCGGTCTGAGAACATCGGGTTGGTTTTTGTTTGTTTGTTTGTTTGTTTTTGAACTGTGTTAGGTTTCCTTGGTTAATGCTACTTCATTTTTAACACCTGGAATAGTGGGCTGTTCAGCTAAACATCTGCATCCAGCCTCCAGCCAAACAGCCGTACAACTGCACACGCAAAGGAAGGTGTAAACACCTTAAAAAGAAAGATACTTTGCCTCCCCAGCCCTGCGATATCCCACATTGCTGAGACATGAATGCAAAGAGTGATAGAATATCTTGAGTTGGAAGGGACCCATAAAATTCATTGAGTTCAACCCCTGGCTCCACTCAGGCCCACCCTAAAATCAGATCCTGTCTAAGAACATTGTCCAGACATTTTTTGAACTCCAGCAGCTCGGGGCCAGGCCCACTGCCCTGCAGAGCCTCTTTTATGCCCACCACCTTCTGGTGCAGAACTTTTCCTATATAATAATACGTCTTGGTTGACTATTTCCTGGTGATCTTTGAAGTAGAACCTCTGATGTCAAAGAATCCTAGAATCATTGAGGTTGGTGAAGACCACTGAAATCACCCAGTCCAAGCACCGCCCAATCCCCACCATGCCCACTGCCCACGTCCCTCAGTGCCACATCTGCCCTTTTCTTAAACACCTCCAGAGACGGCGACTCCACCGCCTCCCCGGGCAGCCTGTGCCAATGCCTCACCGTTCTTCCTAAGAAGAAATGTTTTCTAATATCCCACCTGAACTTCCCCTGGAGCAACTTCAAGCCATCACCTCTCATTCCAAATGCTAAAGTTAATACTGAATGAAATGAAACAGATATATGGGAGTCAGTGCCTCTTGCAGAAGAGCTATATTCCAGGGAATGTGGAAATACTATTAAAAAATTAGATATGCACTAATGTAGTATAATTGACACAGGAAAGGCTTTCCCAATACCTGGATGAAAACAACTCAGGTATGCTTTATCTGGAACAACTGCAAAGCGCAAATTTTGGATGGGGGGATTGAAAAAACATAATGCTAATGCTTTGGGATAATGCATGAACTCAGGTGACTTAGTAGTCCTATCCAAACATGCGGAGCCTGCTAGGCATTTACAGGCATTTCACTGAGCCAAGCACTCTCAGAAATGAGATGACTGGGAAACTCTAGACCCAAGTAGATCAGTATTAAAAAGATATCTGAACTGCCTGCAGCCAGAGTTTAGTTGACCTCCAAAATAGAGAAATCTATCTGAAACTAGTAAATGGTAATTAAAAATACTAATTAATTACATTTGGAAAAGACCTTACCTTAAAGAAATCACAATCACTAGAAAGACAAGCAATGGGAGGATAAAGATAAAAACTATTTTGCAAGTGGAAAAATGAAAATACTGAGAGATTCAAAGCCAGGTTGTAATTTTCACCATGTTCTACCTTTTTAATAGCGATCAAGCAAAGAGAAGATACCAAGAAACCAAACTCAAGTTCCACTGAGACCCAGTTAATTGTCTTAATTGCAAAGTTCTCCTTCATCTGTGGAGAAAAAAAACAATACAGGTGATGGCAGTCAAGAAAATAAAGGTCATTCTAGTAAGCATCCATTTTCCTTTGTAAGTTGAACCTTATCCCAACATTCCATTCTCTTATCTTACCCAGAAACTGCTCCACTGCACAACTTATCCAGCACTGTCAGGTTTGAGCTCTTAAGGAAAGGAGAAAGAAGTTTTCCTGTTCATGCAAATTACCCTCTCAAAAGCAGTGAAAACATGGGTTCGAGTGCCCTCTAGAGGAGTGCACTCCTCTATCGAAAATAGTTAGGCTGAAACACATAAAGTCTCAGAAAGATTTTCAAAATCACTGACTGTTCATGTATGCTCCTTGTAGTGGGTCAGATCTGAGCTGATGTTGTTCCTGCATGCACGTATTCCTACACTTCGTGGCCAGATGTATTTGTTGGTGCAGGATAATAAAGCTGTGAAGTACAACTGGTGAAGAGCAGTCACAGAATCATTTGAATTAAGGGCCACCTCGTCCCACCCCCCTGCAGTGAACAGGGACACCTACAGCTCCATCAGGTGCTCAGAGCCCCATCCAACCTGATTAAATTCAGCATTTATAAATACATTGCTTGTGCCACGAGTACCTAAATGCTTTAAAAAAATCTGACCTTGCTGTTGTGATTACTTGCATTGCTCAAATCTTACAGTGACCAGGACTTTATTTGAAAAATGTTTAACACATGTAAGCAAACACTGTTAATGGAACATTATGGTTGAGTAAGCACAGTACAGCAATAGTGATGTACTTCTCCAGTGTATTCAGATCTGATCATACCCTCTATGTTCTCTTTAATATAAGACAGACTGTGCTACAACACCGTATGCATTTCATTAACTCTGAGATGGGCTAATGGTACACAGCAAAGGAAACATCACACGCTGGGTGAGGAGTAGGAAGGGAAACTCAATTACTAGAAGTTCCCACGTTGTCAGGCAGTGTGGACACCACCAGGATGAAATTTCTCTGATAAATGCCATAAAGCAGAAAGCTGCTCTTTTTGCACAGGGAACAACATCCAGCTACGTATTTCTTCCTAAAAAATGTATTCTCCTGTTCACTTCAGAGTCTGTCTCTCCAGTTGCAGTCTTTCTGACCTTGCACATCCTCCACATTCACTGAATATTTGGAATTCCAGTCTCGCTCAAAAATGCTTTTTAATTGTTCCTGGACAGGCTGTTGCCTTCTCTGCAGGTTGGTTGAGCTCTGCTTGATAATCAGTCCCACGCCGGCTGTGTTTGTGAAGTAATCTTCTGACCAATTGGAAGTCCCTATGTAATGCAAAAGGGGCTAATTAGAAAACATTCCAACAGTGATTTGTTTGATCTCCGTACTTGTTAAGTACACATTGCCTCACTTTGCTGAGGTGCTGTACAACTGCAAATCTCATGAGGGCCAACAAGCAGCGAAAAATTAAGGTCAGCTCTTTCTTATTGCATGTCTCATGTTTCAGAAAGTCGGTGTTGACTGCTGCCCTAAGGCTTCTGATTCCTTACCCTGTGTTATCTGCTCATTATAAACGTAGGACCATTATTTGTATATGTGGAAGGAAAAAGCTGGTGTGTGATACGGGGCTCTGCATTTAAAAACAAAAAATCCTCAATCTACCTAATTTTTTAATCTGTGGGGCTGCATGGGACCAATAAAGTAGCCTCAAGCACTTCGTATTCCATCAGAAACAAAGGCCTAGCAGAAAATGAGCTTCAAAATGGATCTTTATATGTTAAAGGAAAACAAGAGAGGATTTGGATCCCTGAGCAATACATCCTCAGCAGCTGTTTTGAGCTCCGCATGCAGTGCCTGCTTTTAGACCAGGCAAAGCCAAGATCCACCTGTAAGCATTGTGTGGGGTTCTCTCCAAAACCGCCACCATCCAGAAAAAAAATAATCAAACATTGTGTAAAAAATACACATTTTAGCACTTAGCATTTCTTCTGGTGTTCGCCTTTGCCAGAAAAATCTGTCAATTGCAGAGGGTGTTTAGGCATGAAAACAACTTATCTGCACATCTATCTTCAAGAAACAACTCAATAAGAAGCAAGGCCATTAAAGGTGATTGGAGCTGCAAGTCCTCAGCCTGTCAGAAGGTCAGGCTGTCTGCTGGCCTCACTGCTCGGAGCATGGACTGACTGAAATGACAGAGCCCTTCTGCATTCCATTTTCGAGGCATTTGGATGAAAGAGCACGAAAATAACACCATCCTGATTTTCAGGAATAGAGCAACAGCTGACACTAGAGTTTTCTCATTTCCATTCCTAGAATTCTGTTCAGCAAATAGTGCATGGAATTAAACCCTCCCAGCAATTCCCTTTTATTAAAGCACAGTGATGTTCTATACCAGAGCATTAGCTATCACTGCATCATTCTGAGCACACCGTTTGTGAAGTTCCCACTGTGCTTGCTACAAGCTACACGCTCAGACTCAGCATACTCTGTTCTTAATGGTTCACAGTCTTATGAGATAATCTCCTCCTGAACTTAACATACATTATATTGTCTCGCTTTTCCACCTCTACTCCTATACCCAAAGCTGACATTCTGACATAATATTTTGTTATGTTTATCAACTTTCTATGGCAAAACAACCTTCTTTTTAACGTTGAAGCCCACCCCATCCCAATCTCAGCCCTGCAGATCTGAAGATGCTTTGAGCTGTCGTAATCACAGGATACGCACCAATATAGGCTGCTTTATCTGTGACCATAAATTTGTTGTGATTCACTCTCCCATGAGGAATATTTGTGTGATTCAA